TATACAGAAATAGAATTTACTTTTAAATATTTACCTTATATCCAAAAACCTTGCTAAATTCACCTATTAGCTCCAGTAGATTTTTCAGGATTTTCTAAGTATGCTTCTTTTTTGGAAAAAAAGACAGTTTTACTTTTTTCATTCTAATCTTCGCATATTTTTTTTTGCTCTTTTTGCCTGATTGCATTGGCTTGGATCTCTAGCGAAGGCTTAAAGAGAAGGGATGAGAGAAGACATCATTATGTGTGATCTCAGGGGAAAGCATTCAGTCTTTCAAGTGTGGTGTTTTCTACAGAACTTTGTTATCCATGGAAACTTTATCACATTGAGGAAGTTCCCTTTTATTCCCAGTTTGCTGAAAGTTTTTATCATAAATGGACCCTGAATTTTGTCCCCCAAAAATGCTTGTTCTGCCTCCGTTGAGCTAATTTTTTTCTTCAGTTATTTTTCTGTTACATGAATATGTTGACTGATTTTCAAATGTTAAACCAACCTTTTGTTCCCAAGATTCATACCAAAAACATCACGGAGCACCTCTTCTGTGTGCCACCGCATGTCATGCTGGGGCGCCTGGGGACAGAGAATGCTCCCCGCCCTCTCTAAGCACACTCCAACAAGGAGAGCAGCAAGAAAGCCATGGAGCACTGCCACTGTAAGAGGGCCATGTGAGAGACCCAGGATGCATGAGATGAAGTAGAAAAAGCAGAAAGAAACAGCAGGCATGGCCCAGGGCCTCCTGTATGGGGAACAAACAATGAGCAGATAGAGAAGCAAGGAATGTTCAGATGTGAAGGACACTCTGATGAAGAGGCATCTAGCGAGAGATTGGGGATGTCCTTTCACCCAAGACCTGCAAGGCTGAAAAGGCCTCCTGCTTCACCACCTGTGTCTGCCACGTCATCTGCACAGCCCCTGTCTACCTTCACCAGCCCTGCCAAGAGGGGATCCTTTCTCCTCCCATTGTATACCCATGTGTCAGAGCGTGTATGTCAGAGCTGAGACTTGCGCCTCTATGCTTGGGCCATGGGCTGTCATTGAATTTTCTTATAGTTTAGGGAGTCTCTTCCGGAAAGTTCTAAGGACATTTATTGTACCGAAATCAGTTTATTTTAAGATTAGAAGAACTGAAGGCAAAACCTTTACTGGGAAAGAGTCCAGCATCTGCGCACCCAGGGGGCCATCCTGTGCCTGTCTGGTGCCTGCCCCCGCAGCCCCACAGCATGCAGCTATTGCTGGTTTTCTGGCACACTTTTGGAGGGACCTCCCAGGTTTCAGCTGTTTTAAGATGACGACAGACGTGAAGGCCTTGCTGACACAATAATGCAGCATTTTTATGATGACCCAGAGTGTTCTCATAAAACATCCCTCTTTCGCACAAATCAGGCTCATTCTAGCTTTTAAGAAAATTGCATCGTGTCAACTGGCCAAGAACAATAAATAGCTTTGAAGGCCAAAAATGTTACTCTGACCCTAATATCTGCATTGTCCTTGAAACCTTGCAGCTGTATTTGTTTTTCCTTCATCAACCAAAGTTAATGTTAAGTGATTCCCCAACTGCAACCCCATTTATAGAGAATTGAGTCCCATTTGCTATGCCTGACATTTTTAGGACCACAGATGTTTTCATGTCTTCCCTTAGCCTTATTCTAGTCTCTATCTTAGAAACCATAGTAGACATATTAATGTGACCAGTCTTCATTTTCCTTTGGAGTATTTATTCTCAGCATATAAATCACCCTTCTCTTACTAATAATAGAATTCCAAAGGCCCTGGGAGGAAGGAACCTGGCAGCCTGAGGTGTTTCAGCACAGCCTGTCCCCAGACCAGGCCATCTGCTGGGGTCGGGGCACTGCAGTGGAGCTTGGGCCCCGCTGTTCACCAGTCCTCCTTGGTGTGTTTCAGCTACCTCCTGCCCCATCTCCTTCCATCTAAACCTGGCCTGGACACCCACGGCATGCGGCACCCCACAGCCAACACCATTCAAAGGGTATTTAAGATGAGCTTCGTTCCCGTGGGCTTCTGGCAAAGGTTTATAGCACGGATGCTGATCAGCCTGGCGGAGATGGACTTGCAGGTATTATAGCTGCGGTTTCTGCATAGGCAGATGCCTGAGAGGCACCTACAGTTGTACCCTTGGGGGAGGGGAATGCCCTTTGCTGGGGGGCCCTGCCTGGAGACCCTTCTCCCAGAGCCATGCCACCAATGTAGTGCCAGGGGGCAGGTGTGGCGTGGGCTGCTGGCCAACCCATTTAAGCCATCCTGTGAGTTCCAAATCAGCACCCTCCTTAGACAGAACACACCCTTTATAAACAGTGGTTCTAAATGTTAGCCCACCTCAAAACCACCTGGAGTTTGTTAGAACAGAGTTTGGTGGGCCCCACCCAAGAGGTTCTGATTCATTAGGTGTGGACTGAGGCCAAGAATTTGCATTTCTATCCATTCCCCGAGGTGATGCCACTGGCCCAGCAGCCACACTTGGAGAACCGTGAGTTAGAAGCACAGTTTTGCCATCTTGGCTGCACACTAGGCTCACGTGGAGTAAATTCTAAAAGACACAGACCACACTCCAGACTGAGCGAATCAGAATCTGAGTGTGGCATTGTTTGAAAAAGTGATTCCTCTTTGGTATCTTTAAGGCTCCCAGGTGAGTTCCCTGAGCAGTCCAGTTTGAGAACCACTTGTGCAGAGCTTTACATGACTCTGGTAACATTGGAGACCCAGCCCAAGGAGTTAGCTTCTGTGGGTCTACCTGGGGTTATGGGAAGGAGTCCCAGCTGTCAGGCAACATTCATTTCATGCAAAGCGGGAACATGGAAGCAATATTTACTACAGTGGTGTTTTTCAAAGTGAGGTTGCTATACCAGCAAAATCAGCCTCACCTGGGAATATGTGAGGAACGCAAGTTCTCAGGCCCCACCTCAAACCCGCTGCATGAGAAACTCCAGAGGGAACCCCACACTGGTTTTCACAACCCCTCCTGGGGATTCTGACACACTTTTGGTTTTGCAAACCTCTGGCATAATCCCTGACTGTCAAATCCTTGACGTTAAACTCCGTATGAGTTTAGTGTTGCTGCATTCTAATTAGAAAGCCCTTATTGAATTATAAGTTCTTAGCTCTATAAAAGTGTTCTTTGATCTCCCCATTTTCACTGAAATGGTAAGAAAAATCAATGCAAAATCCTTAAAGTCCATCGTGACAGTAGCAGCCTGTGTTAGCGGGAGGGAGACTGGTTTACAGTGCCAGAAGGGTGCGCTGATTGAAGGAGTGGGTGCAGGCGCTGGTGCTCCTACTTCTCCATTCCTCTGCCCTCCCTTTGAACTCTGTGTCCTGCTGTGTTCTCAGGGGAGGGTCATGGAGCACTAGCGTCGTGGGAGGCTGAGCTCACAAGTGGAGCCCAACTGGGCCTGGAGGCCTGGGCGCCCTTCCGGGCAGCAGCATCCCTCACTTGAAGTTAGGAAAGAAGTCCTATTGAAATTCAGATGGGTGACAGGACAAAAGTTCAGTCTCATCACTCATCAAAGGCATGCAAATTCAAGCAGCAGTGAGATGCCACTTTTCATCCATCACATTAGCAAAGAGCTGAGCCATAATCCCCAGCCCCTGGGCACGAAGCGGCCCTGTGCACACTGGTAGTCGGTGCACAGGACAGTCTCGTCATTCAAAAAGCGATTCCTCAGCATGCATCCAGAACTTTAAAATATTCAGACCCTTCGACCGATAATCCGACTGGTAAACTTCTAAACTAAGGATACCATTTTCAATCAGAGAAAGCTCTGTGCCTTTCTCATGTAACTCACGGTGGTTTGGAAGGAGCAAAAGATTGGCACCAACTTACACTTTCAGAAGAGAGTGGTTCAGGAAATTACTATGCTTAATAGAATATTAAACTTTAGAAAAATGAATTTTATGTGTGTTTTTAATGACATAGGAAAAGTGAGGTTTTTTAATGTATATGAAATTAGAAATCCAATATGGCTTCAGCTGTTTTTTACACATATATGGAGATAGAAAAAAAAATCCTGGAATAACATACACCAAAATCTGAATGATCTCTCTGCTTGGTGTCAAATGGGTGTTTTGTTCGCTTTCTTACATTTTTCTGTATTTTCTGCATTTTCTAACATGAATTTTTGCTTGTAAAGTCAGAAAGAGAAAAATTTTTAAAGGAAAGCCTATTTTTCAATTCTTTGGAAAAAGCCGTTTCCGGAATACCCTAGAAACCCTGTCAGATAACGTGACATTCAATTTGGCAGCAGGGATGAGCAGCGTGGGAGGAGAGGGTGGGAAAGATGCGGGTCATTTATCAAGATGGGGCCCAGCCCGGCCTCCGCAGAGCTCTGCCCAGGACCAGCGAGGAGCCCAGAATACTTAAGCAGGGTCTTTTCTCTGTCTTTCAGCTTTTTGAAAACAAGAAGAATACTAAAAGCAGGAACAGGAAAGTCGCCATTTACAGTTTTACAGGAAACCAAAGAAATCGCTGTAGCACATTCAGAGTGAAAAGAAATCAGACCATCTATTGGCAGGAAGGGCTCCTGGTCACTTTTGACGGGGGCTACCTCAGGTAGGAACACCTGGAAGCTCACCTACCGGGCCAGCAGGTGCCACAGCAGCCACCCCGGGGCCACGTCAGCAGGATGCTTCATCCTCTTGGTGTCCAGAATTTTGCTCGTGAGAGCGGCTTGCCATGGCAGCTTGCTAGAAATGTGAGGCCCTCCCATGAGTGTCCCAGAGGCTCTGGGCTCCTCAGCCCTGCTGAGTCCCCCTTGCAGGATGGGAAAGGCAAAGGCAGATGTGGCGGCCACAGCTCAGGACTTGAGGGACGTGGTGGCCATTGAGCTCAGGAGAGCCTCAGGCACCTCCCAAAGTTATTCAGGTCACCATGTGACCTTGCAGCCATCCTGCCCATCCCCTTGTTCTGTGAGAAGCCAGGCTGGGGGCAGGGGGCACTGACACTCCTCAGCCTCCCTCTGCACTGCCCATAACCAGACACGGAACTCAGCTCCCTGTGCCATTTATTCTTTTTTTTTTTTTTTTTTTTTTTGAGAGCAGTAGACCTAAAGTCAGCTCAGCAGATTTAACGAATGATAAACACCCAAGATTATTTTAATATTTACAATGAACTTTGCAAAATAGTCTTCAGCTCTGTGAGAGGAGAAGAAGGGAAAAGGCGAGGCAACTTTACAGAGGACTGGATTGGGACCTGCCGCCTCCACATAGAGGTTCTCACTTAAAGCCCACGGTTGCTGCTGGACAGATGAGAACACTGAGGTTCAGGGAGGTCCGGTAACTTCCTGAGGGCCTCACCCGAGGGTCAGCTCCCAGACTGAGCATCCCTGACGGCAATCTTCCTTGTGTCTCCTTCACCAGGCCAAGTCCGGGGCAAGAGCAAGGCAGGGCCACACACACGTACATACAGGGAGGAGTCCCCCATCAGTCCTGCAGAGCACAGAGTCTCTCCAGGTTCCCAGGGGTTGCATCCTATCCCTAGGGGCAGGGATATCATCCCAGGGTCCCCCAGAGCCAGATCGCAATGGGCTCCTTTTGGTTTCTGGGTTGCAGTGTGGAATCTTCCGATGTGAACTGGAAAAAGAAGAAAAGTGGAGGAATAAAAATCATTTGTCAATCAGAAATGAGGGACTTCTCAGCCATGGCTTTCATCACAGATCATGTCAATTCCTTGATTGATCAGTGGTTTCCTGGTAAGAGAAGATTCTGGAAACAAGCCCTTGTTCATGCTAATATTTATTTATAAATCAGGGTGGGGCTGCTTCTTTTGGGGAGGACAAAAATCCCACTGGGATTCGGCCCAAGCAAACTAGGGGGTCTTAACCGTCCTTTGGTGGGAGTCCTGGCCCCCGAGAAGTCCAGCTCTGTCATGGGGGGGAGTACCGTGGGGAGGATGGGGCTCGAACCCCACTGGGATTGTGCAGGGAAGCGGCCTCCCAGCTGCCCACAGGCATGGCAGGAAAGATGACACTGGTACCACAAATGGTCCACGGAGATGCTCAGTGTGAGCTCACACATGTCTTGTTTTCACAGTGAGGACGGTGCGGCTGAAACTGGCGGAGGGTCGGCAGATGGAAATTTATCCTCTGTGCAGGGGCAGGGATGGAGGGGAGCTGTGGCCACCAAGGGGCCTTGCTCTCCTTCCCTGCCGGCCCACCCATCCTGGCGGTGATCAAACCACTAACACAGCCCTTCTCAGTCCCTTTGGATCTGTTTCTTCATTGATAGTTCACCCAAAAAAAGTACTCTTTGAGTGAAGTTGCTGAGGCTCCCTGTTTGTTTTGCTCCTGCAGTGGAGACAACTCCCAGAGCAACCTGCAGGGGGGAGGCCATCTGGGGCTTAATGGGGCAAGCAGCTGTGGGAATGGCTGCCCCGAGAGCCTCAGCTCCTGAACGCTGGAGGCCAAGCAAGTGACTGGAGAGCGGGTTTGGAATTCCAGTGCCGCCCCTGCAAGCCTCGGCAGGTCCCCAGGCCTCCCCGGCCGGCCTCACCTGCATGCAATGCCTACATCCCAGAGAACGTCAGGGAAGGTGGCTAAGGAGCAGTGGCAGCATACACTCAGGATATACATTCCAGATCCCAGGGTCTGGTCTCTGTCAGGGTTGGGTCCTTCACGCTGTTAGCAGGAAGGGTGACCTACAAGGAAAAAAGGCTTAGAAAGGAGCCCTCGGAGAAGGCAGTTGGGTGTGTGTGTCATGGTGATTTGCGAGGCACTTGGCCATCTAAGAGGGCCCCTTAGGCCCATGTAAACCTTTCTGGGCACTTTGCAGCTCCCCACCAGCCAGTGTTCCCCCCACAGCAGGTGCTGGGCAGCTTGACAGGTGGATCCCTTAGACAGTCACCTGAGATAGAAAGGGCTCTGGTGAGCACCTGAGACAGGTTGCCTGGAGCTGGCATCCCCAGCCAGGGGCCCCTCCCAACGGGATGCCTTACACATGGACCTACAGATATCAGATGTGCCTGGAAAGTTCTAGGCATCCATCTCCTACCCTGCATGAAGCAGGCAGTTGGCCTGCCCTGAGGGCACCTCCACAGGGCACCTTGGAGGGTGTTTCTCTGCACCTCCTATCAGAGGCGTGGGAGGGAACCCATGTCCACTGACTCAGTTTTGTCTGTGATAATTTGCACTCATTTCTCCCCCTGCATTGCCCTTCATAAACATTGCAAACCTGATGTTTCTAATTGTAGGAAGAGTGGTTTCCACACTGCTGTGATTGTTGGAGGATAGCTCAGACCTAGTCTGTAATGACCTGTTAGGGCCCAGTCATGCAGGAGGGATCCCCACCCTCCTCTCAGGCCCCCCAGCCAGCCTGCTCAGGGTCCCGACCACTGGGCAGTTCTCAGAAGCATCCTGAACCCTCCCTAGATGCGTCTTTCAGGACAAACAATTGCGCTCTCCAAAAAGGCACCTGAATGTGGCAATGGGTTTCGGCCTGTCTCTCGGGTACAGGCCAGGACAGGCAACTCCCCTGCTGTGAAGGCCTCAGGGCCTGGGGTGCAGAGTGCTGCTCAGGGGCCCTCCTGCACCTCCTTCTTGTGAAGCTGTCTCTTGCTCTGTCCTTATTTAGCCTTGACGGCCACAGAGAGTGACGGGACTCCACTCATGGAGCAGTATGTGCCCTGCCCAGTCTGCGAGACAGCCTGGGCCCAGCACACGGACCCCAGTGAGAAATCAGAGGGTGTGCAATACTTCGACATGGAAGACTGCGTCCTCACGGCCATCGAGCGGGACTTCATCTCCTGCCCCAGACACCCGGACCTCCCCGTGCCGCTCCAGGAGCTGGTCCCTGAACTGTTCATGACCGACTTCCCGGCCAGGTATGCCCCGAAGGCCCCTCCCAGAACACAGTGCAGGTCACAGGGGGCGCTCCTTGTTGTGCAGTTGCCAAGTGATCTCCAGGAAGACCCTCCGGAGCCATCGCTTCCCACCAATCTCAGTAGCTTTTTAGGTTCCCATCCTCGGCTGCCTGAAGGGAACAGGCTGCTGGCTTTCCATTTTGGAGGCCTTGGTAGGCCCAGCTGGGAAAAGTGATTTGCAAGTGCAGCCATCCTGCCTCCCCATATGCCTCCCCCTTCCCCTCGTAGCCAGAGCTGCTCTCTCCTGAGCTGCCTCTCCTTTCCAGTCCTACCTCCCCACCAGCTCCAGGGCCAGCAGATAAGCACAGCCGGCACCCCTCGGGCATTCAGGAAGGGGAGAGCTCCCACCCAGAGCCTTGTTTACCTCCTTTGTCAAACGCCGACTCCTATCTGTAACCCTAGTGCTCAGCATTGGACCCCTCAAATCTGTTCTTAGAGTTTATTCTACCTATGCTAACCCAAGATGATAACTAAAGAGAGAATCGGGGAGGAAATAGGAAATGTCACCTTTCAGAAGAAAACTTCCAAAGGGATCCTTTCTCTACGGCCACCACTTCCGTGGACTTCACCCTGTGCCAGCCATCACCACCTCTGAGGCTGTTCGGGTCCTGAGCCCACTTTACAGAGGAGACTGAGGCTTAGCAAGCCTCCATAACCCACCCAGGTGTGCCCACCCGCAAGTGGCAGGGCCGGGGTGACCCAGATCTGTCCAGCCTCACAGATGGCTTTGAACCATGACTCTCGGCCATGGGGACAAATGACCCAGCCCAGGACCCACCCGCATCAGGGCGGGGGTGATGTGGCTGATGCCGTGTGTGTGTGGCAGGCTCTTCCTGGAGAACAGCAAGCTGGAGCACAGCGAGGATGAGGGCAGCGTCCTGGGCCAGGGTGGCAGTGGCACCGTCATCTACCGGGCCCGGTACCAGGGCCAGCCCGTAGCTGTCAAGCGCTTCCACATCAAAAAATTCAAGAACTTTGCTAACGTCCCAGCAGGTAAGCAGGTCCCAAGTTGGTGCTGTTTTTCTCAGACATGTGCCGCCCGGGTCTAAGCTCTGTGCCGCCTTAGAGAGGCCTGAGGCTGCAGGTACCCCGTGTCCTGCTGGCTGACACTGCGCTTTCCATGGTAGACACCATGCTGAGGCACCTGCGGGCCACGGACGCCATGAAGAACTTCTCTGAGTTCCGGCAGGAGGCCAGCATGCTGCACGCGCTGCAGCACCCCTGCATTGTGGCGCTTATCGGCATCAGCATCCACCCGCTCTGCTTCGCCCTGGAGCTCGCGCCGCTCAGCAGCCTCAACACCGTGCTGTCGGAAAACGCCCGAGGTACCATGGTGTGCCGCCCCACCCGACTCCTGAGACCAACAGAGCCCCAGGCGCCTCCTGCCTGGCATGGGGGTAGAGCCTCAGGTGGTCTTGGCAAGCCCACGGCACAACCAACCCATGGCTCGTGTGACCATCCCCTGGGTGCGAGGCCAGGCACCTCACCAGGTCCAGTCACTGGACAGAGCCTTGGCGAGGACGGCAGAGGGCACGCCGTGGAGTTGGCTAAGACCAGCCTCTGCCGCGGTCCAGGATGCTGCTGAGTTTATTTGCCTGTAAAAGGAGGATGATAACATCCTCTCTGGGAGGGGACCAAGCACATGAGCTGCATTAAATCACTTTCTTAACTGCACATGCACACCACTGCTGAGACTCAGATCCTAGGGTCAGTGGGACCATACTACATTTTAAAATAAAACGTTAAAGTAATTTAAGTTGAGAAATGAGCAACTAAACTCCAGAGTTGCCAGAGGGTGAAGGGTAGTTATCTTTTGACTAGGGAAGAAGAAATGCTATTAAAATCAATCACTTCTGCCTCAATGGAAGATAATTTTTTAAACAAAATCTTTATTTTATTTTATTTTTTTCATACAGGACCTTGCTTTATTGGCCAGGCTGGAGTACAGTGGTGCAATCTCAGCTCACTGCAGCCTTGACCTCCTGAACTCAAGCAATCCTTCTACCTCAACTTCCCCAGTAGCTACAAGCATATGCCACCACACCCACCTAATTTGTTGTTGTTGTTTTGTTTTTTGTAGAGATGGCCTTTCGCCCTGTTGCCCAGGTCATTCTCGAACTGTGAGCTCAATCGATCCCCCCACTTTAGCCTCCCAAAGTGCTGGAATTACCGGCATGAGCCACCACACCCAGCCAAACAAAATTCTTCTACTTGCAACTCACGCCTTTACGTAGGACAGCCTTGACCTGAGATGAACTCTAGAGATTTCGAATCCTTGCTCATTCAGCAAAACTGCCAGCAATTCCAGGAATAAGGTATCATGAATGAAGCTATAGTGATGAGCACTTCTATCCTAAATACTATTTCACTTAACCAGGCCATTCTCTGTCCCTTCTGGCAGTCTGGTGAATAGTGAGAATGTGTCAATAGAATGTAAAGTATCTAGGGGCCAGGCGCAGTGGCTCACATGTGTAATCCCAACACTTTGGGAGGCCCAGGCGGGCAGGTCACTTAAAGCCAGGAATTCAAGACCAGCCTGGCCAACATGGTGAAACCCCGTGTCTACTAAAAATACAAAAGTTAGCCAGGCATGGTGGCATGCGCCTGTAGTCCTAGCTACTCAACTTGGGAGGCTGAGGCATGAGAATTGCTTGAACCCTGGAGGCAGAGGTTGCAGTGAGCTGAGATCATGCCACTGCACACCAGCCTGGGTGACAGAGGGAGACTCTGTCTCAAAAAAAGAAAAAAGAAAAAAAGAATATATAGTATCTAGGGAGATAGGAAGACAAAAAGACAGTTGCTATCATGATAATTTGATTCTATCAAAACTGAAATTTTGATACATTTGAAAATTGTTTTTCTTTGCAAGATTCTTCCTTCATACCGCTGGGACACATGCTTACCCAAAAAATAGCCTACCAGATTGCCTCGGGCCTGGCCTACCTGCACAAGAAAAACATCATCTTCTGCGACCTGAAGTCGGACAACATTCTGGTGTGGTCCCTTGACGTCAAGGAGCACATCAACATCAAGCTATCTGACTACGGGATTTCGAGGCAGTCATTCCATGAGGGTGCTCTAGGCGTGGAGGGCACTCCTGGCTACCAGGCCCCAGAGATCAGGCCTCGCATTGTATATGATGAGAAGGTACCTGCCTGGATCCCCTGGCCCAGCCCCACAATGCAGGAGCCCAGCCCTGAGGCTAGCCAGGCATTCCTGGAGGCACCTGCAGCTTCGGGGCTCAGCATCCCCAAAAGCACACTTTTCTCCCTCTCCCTTGCTCCATGAGGGAGGTTCTGGCTTGAACCAGAAGGGAGCAGGGGCCTATGTCTGTCTGCTTATAGCAAGATTGACTTCTCCTTAGCCTCAGAGTTCTCAAACCTTGATTCAGAAACATTGTAGAGGCTGTAAACAGCAGATGAAGAGTCCAAGACAGAAACACGTCTGGATTTGGGCTCCAACTCACATTTAGATGTGCACAATGAGGACACAGGACCAGCCTTGCAGGGCACTCAGGAGGAGCAGACAGAATAAGGACGGTAAAGACCCCTGTCCTTAAGTCCTGGTCACAGGGTGCTGGCCAAGTTGAATGCCGAACCAGGAGAAGGGTGAAAGGACAAGCTGGCATCCCCAGGCCACTGTGCTGCCAGCCTCAGTTGAAACAATGACTAAATATTAATCTTCCGATAACATTTATCCCTGATGGCTATTTGATAGATGCAGGCCCACAGA